TTTGTTTATAATAGGGATATTATAAACATTTGTATATATACATATAACAAAAAAAAAACAGCTGATCAACAAGTTATGTCAATATAACTACAATAACATATAATAATTAAGACAAAATCAATCCATCATTCAAGTAAGAATGAATTGCTCCGTTTATAGTAACATAAGTATATATTTTTTCATATTAATTCTGAATCTTGTTTCATTATCAATATGTTTAAATTCGTTAGGTAATGAATTATATTAAATGATTCCATTGCACAATATTGATTGTTTGCCTATATTGATGTTATATGGATTTGCTTGAATTGTATTTACTTCAGTAGGTGTGTATAATCTCTGGTAAAGTTCAAGTTGCATCTTTCTTAATTTTTTTTTTTTTTAACAACATGAATAAAACAACTTGGTTCCAGATAATGTAAATTGTAAATGCACAATTGTTTTGAAATTTCATTAATGGATTCAAATGTGATATACCTACTGGTATTTCCCCACATGGATATTAAATATTGTAATTTTGAATAAATCAGATAGATGTTTTTAAGTATGAAGGGAATGAAATTTCGAATTTTGTATAAATTATCAGTAATTGGATTCAGTTTTTTTCTCAGGTGATCTATATGTTTATTCCATTATAATTGTTCATTGATAAGTATAGTTATCATGAAGAACATAAAATTAAATAAATACAGCATTGATATATTCTTATCCTAGGTATTTAGTTTTGTCTGATGTCGAAAGATAATTTGATCAATTATGGACGATTTGGAGAATTCAGTTGTATTTTTCACCATTCATGTTCACTTAAAGTCCAACAATTTGAATGATAAGAGATTGAAATATTTTTAAATCATTCAAAATAATACTCATATTCCACAACATGTATAATAAACAACAATGTCAACAATCCAGCAAAAATATGAAAACTGCTTCCACAATCAGCATTTGTTTTAATATAATAAGGCATCTCAAAAATAACACAAGATAATATCATATAATCTAATAGTTTCTCAATATCACCAGTTATTCTATATAAATCACTTGCCTTCTCCACTTCGTTAAAAGAGTGCGTAAAAAATCTTTGATACTATCATACGTTGCATAACTAATTCCGACTGCGATAGGCCCTTTGATCCAATTCATGGAAAGCCCTTTGTATAAACCTCTCGTCAAACCCTCAGTACTAAAAAAAACAATATCTATCAGTTTTTCAACAATAACTTGACCACTCTGGATTACCTATAGACATAGCGGAGTGTGAAGAGAATACTGGGATATTTGCCAGTAGTATCGGTTTGCATTCTTCTCCTCACAATGTCCAGAGGGTAACTACTAGATTGTCCTAACATTCCCGCCACTGCTCCAAATAATAAGGATGCTACAGGGGGTGTGCTATCATCACGGAAATGTTCTTGAAAAAAAAAGTTCAATCAAATTACAGGATAATTTTCAAAAATTGTAACTCATAAGATTAAAGAGCCTCAAAGTTCATTTTTTTATAATAGGTATATTTTATTTCTACTGCATATTTTAATTGTCGACAACTGTCATCATCGGTTCGACAAGAGGCATTATATTGGGTGTTGCAGTGGTATTAATTGCGTAAATGAGTGTTGATTACAAGGAATCGACTTTTTCGATTGATTTTCGATTACGCGATGTAAAACCTTGTGATAAATAGGTTTCTTGACTTCATGTCAGCTCAGGAATATCTTAAAACCATTGTAGCATCGTTATTGTATGAATTGGTCAGAAAAATTTAGAAGGACCTCCTTGCGCCCCCTTGGATTGCCTTGTCTGAAAAATCACGAAATCAATTCGAGATATTGAGCTGAGCAATCGATCCAAATAAAGGATTTGTGTTTAGCATAGCATATGGTTATGGAAGCACCAAACTGAACAGAAGATTTCATCAAATTTTGAACATTTCTTCAAAAAAAATATTTTTTCTTCTGTTGGAGTTGTCGATGATTTCAACGCAAAATAAATCCATTTTCTAGGATGTGTTCCATCGTATAGAGCGGCAAAATACGTTGAATGTGGCATGCATAATTTTAAAATCGAAAATGATGCGATAAAAACCTAAAAATGAAAAATCATCGATTTTCAACATCCTGTATGAGAAAAATGGAAAATTACAAAACCGTTTCGAGATATTGGCTTGAACGTTCTAAAAAAATTATCAATAGAAAAATAAAAAAAACTCCCTGATATACGGGAGCGTTTGAATTTTCTCATTTTTTAAATACATTTTCTGAACACTTGGTGTATAATGAGAAAATTCCCGACGAGTTTTGAACAAGGATTCTTGAACAGAAAGATCGCATCTTCCGAACACTGCATTCCGATAGAAAATCTATTAATTTTTCAAAAAGTTATGGCAGTTTGAAAATTGTCGAAAATATCAGTGGTCCACTTGTTTCTTTGAGCACTTTATATGATTTTTTCTACTCACATAACTAAAATGGCATTTAGCGTACGAATATGTACCACGCTAAATGATCGATTAATCACGGATTGTCGATCTGTGATTTATTCAAAATATTAAACACGTTACCATGGCAACGAAGTTCATTAAACACAGCTTCAGTAATTTGAGACATGTCTGGCCTGTCAATTGTATTAACTGTCAACTGTTATTTCCAAATTTTGTATCAGAATTATTCAAACAATATTCGTTTGTATCAGAATTCTTCTCTCGCTGGTTGCATGCAGTTGCATGTATTATGTTCTCAATTCCCATTCCTTTCGAATTATTTTGTAGGGTAGCAGGAATTGTAGGTATGTTAATGTAATTTTCGGAATTCGTAGAAAAATCATAGTATGTAACGCGTTTATAAACTCTTCTAGACACTCGTTTATTAAACACTCGCTCCGCTCTGCTCCGCTCGTGCTTAAACTACTCGTTACTAAAAGTACTTTTATAACACTTGTTACATAATATACTATTATCCTTATGAGCACATGTGAACATACTGAACACGCTAAAAATTAAGTATGCATTACCTCTGTATAATCTCTTCAAGGAATCATAAGTAAAAAATGAGACACCAGCATATGGCACAACACCTATAATTGTAGGTATATATCCTTTATAAAACCTAGTCAGCCCTTCAGACCTGTACAACTTGCAGAAAACCTGTAACAAAATCAATTCAAATTGAAAATCTGCTGAGTTTGCCAAGCAGACAATGCATCAATAAACTCCACATCAATCAGAATGGTGAACTATATTTTCTCTTTTCTCATTCTATTTCTGCCAAGGGATGGTAATCTGGAAAGCTTGAAGCAGATGGCACTGGTGAGGTTGGAGGTCAGTCAGCTGTTTATCTTTATTCATTTTATCAATTGAAAGTGATGAAATTTGTTTGCAAAACTTCATTATAACAATGGGTAATAATCATTTTTAATCAATATATTTTGTATTACTGCTTTGTTTAAGAACAGAATTTTCTCATTTATACAGTTGGGATCAGAATAAAGGGCGCCGTACATTATGCTATTTACCAGCAAGTTCGATGCAATACAATTTTGAATCGAACAATGCGCATGCGTCTATGATATTTCACGGCAAGTTTCATGCAAGTTTCGTAATAGAACCAGTCCTATTTTTCCTGCAATTTCAAGGCAAGTTTAGTAAAATGTTTAGTAATATTCATCGTATCATCTTGATAAAATACAAATTTTTTCCATAACGTGGCCTGAAACACCAAATAACCTCAAAAAGTACATTGAAGGCTCAAAAAACCTGAAAATAGTGAATATGAACGAGAAAATATGACAGAGATATCTCAATGTACGGCGACTTGCAATAAAATGAGAAAATTGCGAGAAAATTGCATTGCCTCAAACTTGCCGAGAAATAGCATAATGTACGGCGCCCATAAGACTTTTTCTTCATATAAATATGTGTCATAAAATGCAGACTCTATGAGCTTCAGCCACTGTAAGTTAGGTAAAAGATTATATAAAATCGTAACTAAAATAACGGATCAAATCTTCTGAAAATTGGCATGCCCCTGTCTTTTCAACCACTTTATTTCTTTCTTGCTTCAAAAATGATGTAAACCCAGTTGTGGGGGAGAAACTCTGACTTTGAATACCGTGATCTTGTTGTCCAAAAAAATGACACAACAGATGACCATCAACCACAATAGTGTCGCCACGCGGGTGCAATTTCGAACATCCCTGCCTCTAAAAGCATCATTTATGAAGATGAATATTAAACAAATACAAGGTGACCTGAAGTACTCTTCCGATTTCCCAATAATATATCATATTTTTTGTAAAGGAAAAGGAATAGTTGTCTGTAAATGATGTTTATTTGGACCCTTACAATCTTTCACGAGCCGCCGCCAGAATTGATGTACATTTGAGCGCATTTAAAAGCATGTTGCTTCACTTTCCAAAATGTTTGCTATTTCTTCTTCAATACCGTTGTATAGCTGTCAAGATGTGTGACTTGTTCTCATAAATGCAAGACCTCAAATAATCCCCTTAGAAAGAAGTCTAGAACAATCAAATCGTTTGATCTTACAAGCCAATGCATCACCAAAATATCTTGAGTATCGACGCTCCATGACTTGTTGGCTTCAAAAACTTCAAACGTAAAAATTAGAGGTAGTAACTTTCATTTTCATAATATGTGCTAGAATATCACAATATCCTAAACATTCACTTTTCAAACCATAAGTGACTTCCGATATTCATACAAATGAACTTTTGGCTGATGATGGACTCCAAGAGAACAAAACACTTATCTCAACATAAAAATGTTATTGAATTATGTGGAGAGTACTCAAAGCTTTCTCCTCTTCTTATGTTTATGTGAGTAAATTGTATAAAATCATGCATCAAAGGATCAATCAAGATTGACAATTGGGAATAAATACATTCAAAACTGTTCATAGATGTACCAAAAGCGACCAAAATCATCCCAAAAACGTGAATGCGAAAGCGTTATCTGGTTGAAATGTTACTAAACTTGAAGTTTTACGTACGTCTCGTAAGGTTGCATATTCTTGTTTTGGGGTAACAGCCATCCTAGCCCTGGCAAGATCAAGGGGGTAGGTAATCGTTTGAGAGGTCACTCCAGCAAGAGAACCTGCCAAGAATAATTTTCCAGGAGATCGTCTACAAGAAAAATCAAAGGGTAGCAGACATGTAGATTGAAAGTTACCTATTTCCCCCGATTCCTTGACTGAACTATTTTCCACAATATCAGCATTTTTTTGCCAATTTGGGAATTGAGAAAATGAGAAGATAATGAACAGCAAGAAATAATATTCGCGGTTGCCAAGGTAAAGGGGAAGTTTCCTTTATAAATAAAGGAGGAACTTGGCTCCTCCACCATTTCTATGACGTACTTTCTGAGAATTCAAATGCCGACATCATCAATATGTCTAGATTTCCGGAAATCGTTCTTTGAATGCATAATAACTATATCATAACAGCAATGGGATATAATAGGTTCTTCAATCCTACTGTGTCCAGTGTTATGAATAATTCCCATAAATCTCTCATTGGCTGAATGAAGTTGATTACTAATAAAGATAAATTATGATATATTGCGATGGTATCTAAAATTTTCCACTATTGTTACATTACAATATGTTGAAACAAAACCATAACCTGTCAGAAAGAAGCCAACTACCTTCTGCATTCCTGCTCCGAGTGCATTTGTGGTTATGTATGTTTTTGTTTACTAGTTTTACTTCTTCTTCTATTTTTTTCATTCCTTAGCTATTCGCTAGCTATATTCTTCACCATCAGCTATTTTCAGACTGGATTCAGAATGTACCCGACAGTTTGCCGCCCCGAAAATTCGAAATTGCTTTAATTTGAAAATGAAAACGACTTGAGCTTTACCGGTCGCCATTCTGTACAGCATGGACATGAAACTGAAGAGTTCCGAACTTATTTTATGAAAATTCATCTGAAGGAAACTTCCCCATTAGATGACGTAGGGATGGCATTTAAAACTACAGGAAAACATCCCAACTTCTGGCGTGCTTCTGGCATAGAATGAAAGTCAGACATGTTTTCCTGTAGTTTTTAATGTTATCCCAATGACCTAGGCGACGGCGAATAATTCGAAATAATTGTTCTGATATTCAACAAGACATAAATGCTTCCCCTGTCAATTTTCATGACAATCTCAATGGTGAAAACAACATTTGAATATCTATCATCGTTTCAAGAATAATTGACATGGAAGTTTCAATGAAATATAGAAGGAACCATAATATTTACCAACCCTTGAGCTTGGTCTACCCTCAATATTTTTTTCCATTGCTCGTAAGCAGTAAACTGAATGGCTGCATGAGGCACAATTCTTGCCATTGTGGCACTGTTTCCCCTCCATAATGCAAAAAATCCTTCTGTTCTGAGAGTTTTCACTAAAAACTTGAAGGCTTTTTTAGTTGAGTATGACTTATTCCTGAAAACACATTCATTATCTCAATTGCAAAATACAAATAAGTAGATGAGTATATATGTTTCAATCAGTTATGTGGAAATGGAACAGAAACATCTACAAAATAATCTGATGAAGTAAGTGATTAGTATTGCAATGCATGAAGGCAAATACTTTGAGAGTAGGTATAAAAAAATATCATCAATGAAGTATCAAAAGGGTATTGGCAATAAAATGGAATTTTGATTATCATCATCACAACTACATAAAAATACTGAAAACAACATCAGCAGGTAAGTAGGTACTTAATCTATATAGATAATACACCCCTTCAACCTATCAGATTTAAAAATAGAAATCACTTAATAAATTACATGATTATATGTATATGGAGGTATATGTATATATTTGTTTGAATAACTCACCCTATTTGGAAATTGATTTTTGTTCTATCAAGTGGAGCAATCGTTGTTTTGGCTAAAGCACCTGCTATAGCACCAGCAGTCAGACTTGTTATAACTATTTGGGTATTGTTTAAGTTTTTCCTATCATTGTGATGATCAGTTTTTGCCATATTGGAAGACTAGATTATCAAGGCATTTTCATATTGCTAGGGCTAAAAAAATTAATTAGTTATGGAATCACAGCACATTATGAATGTCTCTTGCCCAAGAAACAAAGTTATAATAACAAGAACTTTAAATCTGGACAAAGTTCAGATTGAGAAATTCATTTTTTCTTTCAAGTAATGATAAGAATTTATACTAATCTTTAGGATGATAGAAATCTGAAAGTAGAATAGGTACATGTTCAATTATATAGGCATATTTTCATATTTTTACCTTATCATTCATTACTTCTACTTCATTTTATTCAACTTATATTTTATCCATATCATCCGTATCAAATCGGCATACAACAATATATTATGTAGGTATGAGGTGAGGGAAAAGTAAACAAATGTGTATAAACAAACAAATCCTCTATCCTCTTGTGTGTTGAAATTTATGCTGGTATAGCTGTACTTTATTATACCCCACCTGTTTCATTACCTGTTTTGCTCAGGTGAATAATCTCTCTCTTCTCTCTATCTAAATGATGTCCAAAGTTTTCATCAGAGAGTTGTGACGTGTTTATATCAGATTAATCTGTTTTTAATATCCAGAATGGTGAGTTTAATTGTTCCTTAATAAATAAATACTAATATTAATTATTTTCCCGTTTTAGGCACGTTACTTCAAGGAAAAGGATATAGATGGTGAGTTGATGATTCAATCTGATGTTATAGTTTGGATTTTGTTCTCATTGCTACAGATATATACATCAATGAATCAATTGATTAATTCCCATAAACAAAAATTACAATAAAAGTGATTTTCTTAAAATTAAACTGGTCTTACATTACTCTGAATTTATTTATTTTTTGTTGTATAAAACTGTTCCTATGATATTGATATTTTAGTGTTTTAGGTAACAGTAGTCACATTGAAATCTGCTAGATGGCTGCATTAAGAAAAATATAAATCATTTTATTTTTCAGAATTCAGGGAATGTTTCTATTTGTTTGCAAGAGAAGGAAGCATAAAAAGCTTGGATGAACTGACGATCATCATGAGAAGTCTAGGACTATCGCCTACAACTTTGGAAATGACAGGATATTTGAAACAAAAGGTAGACATGGAGAAGGGGTTTCATTTACAATACCTATAATTATTGAATTATAGGAACTGAATTATTCTACTAGGTACTTCTATTCTAGTCAAACTTGGCTGAATCAACATTTTTCAAACAATTCAGGTTCATCTATACAAGGTGAATCTGAAAGTGAGATTTTTTTTTACAGGATATATATCTCACCAAAATGAGTTTTTCAGCAGAAAATTGCTCATATAAAATATTTAAGATAAGGGAGGTACAGGTATTTAATGGCTTAAAGAAGACTCCAACTATGAAACATTTTGTTTACATTTTCTCAAAATAAAAACAAAAATGCTGTTATTAGTCCAGCATTAGATAACCTACAGTTGCATTATTTCATCAGAAACACTAATCAAAAATCTCTTTTTACATTATCAACCTATTAATTATCCTTTTAAAGTGAACCAAAAAACTTTAGGAGGGACATGAAGCATTAGGCCAGAGATATGCCAGAGATATATACCCTGTTGAATAAAGAACCTCACTTTCAGATTCACCCTGTACATAAGTATAGAATCTTTACTCATATGTATGAATGAATAACCTGAAATGATGAATAAAATCTGTTACCTAGTATTATTCTCTACTGATTTGATTAACAGATTTAATGCTATTTCAAACTGAGAAAAATAGAAGGAAAATTATCTACTTTCATATAATTTTGTATAGCTCTTAAGTAGTTATATAAGCAATGTCAAACTTTCTGATACATTTACATTGCATTCAGTCAGATAAATAAACAAGAATCTCAACTTGTTGTTGTAAAATTATTGCAAAATAAATTCGCACTTTAATCTGATAAAAGTAGTAGACTTTCAACATATTATGTATTTATTTGTTTCATTTTAGGGCGGCAAGATGACATTTGCAGATTTTCTGGAAGTGATGCATATTCATTCTAGACTTGAAAACATCCCCAAAGAGGTGGTTGATGCTTTCAAAGCTGGTGATCCAGAAGGAAAAGGGGTTATATCAGCCAGGAATCTTCGACAGTTGCTCCAAAACTGGGGAGAATGTCTGTCAGCAAGAGAAGTAGATAGAATTTTTAGAGAGGCGAATGTCAATAACAATAGCACAGTAAGGTACGAAGATTTTGTGAAGATTGCCTGTGCACCCGTACCAGATTATTACTAGTTTGCAAGTTTCATATAAGTATTTATTTGTATATACTTGATAATATTCTTACCAGTTTTGGGAAAACAACTATACCAGTGGTATTGGTTGGATCTATGGGACAAGTTACACAACACATTCAACATTTATGTTTCTTATAAGATTAGATTATTAATTCCATTGTTTAAATAAATATTAATACACAATAAAATTGAATAATAACTGTGATAATAATAATACGAAATATGAATTAAAAATTCACATAGAACAGAAAACAACAGAGTTGAGAGACACAAAGGAGAAGAAGAAGAATGAACTGCACGAAGTGACATCTACATTTGACAGATTGTCAGAGGTCACGAAACAGAAAGAACCGAACGCAACCGAACACAAGAGACACACGGCAAGTGTACGGCTAGTGCAGTAGTAAATTCTGGTTGATGTCACTGTTCATGTCCTGTATGTGTTAACAAGGAAGAATTAGATAAGAAGAGAAGAGGTTAACCTCTCTTGAAAACGCAAATCCGTGAATTTGGTTTAAAAGAACGCCGATTTTTGTAATCAAATATTTTAATTCTGCTACTGTGAAATAAATAACTGAAACATGTCGACTGCTATGCCAATAAATCCCAAACCATTCCTCAACAGCTTGACAGGTAAAGCTGTATTGGTGAAATTGAAGTGGGGTCATGAATATAAAGGATACTTGGTCTCTGTTGATGGATATATGAACTTGCAGTTGGCAAATACAGAAGAATATATCGATGGAAATTCTACAGGTAACAATTTATATCACTACCCTTTATTATTCAAATTTATACATTTTCCCACTTAATGAAACATCTGAAGTGATATTCCTAATCTGCAGGTAACTTGGGTGAAGTTCTGGTGAGATGCAACAATATCCTATTCATCAGGGGTGCTGAGGAAGAAGATGAAGAAGGCGAAATGAGGGACTAGCATTAGTGAAAGTGAATTTCTTGTATGGGACGTTTGAATATAAAATATCATGTGAGGGTCTTCAGTGAAAGTGAATATGCTTTCAGGACATTGTCTCTGACTATATTATTATAATTCTGGACTTTTAAAATTTATGATGTATCAAATCATCTCATAGTGATACCACAGATTAACAAAGGTTTGTTAATCTGTGGTGATACATTTATAGAATCAAATGAGAATTATATGCCTGTAGTTTTGAGATCATGTTATTACAATTTGAGATTTCATTTCCCACTCTGCTTGTGTTTACAATTTTTTGTATAATAAATGATCCAATGAATTTGCATAATTGTTTCCCTTACTGGAATACAATGAAAACCTTGACGAAAAACTCCAATTGCATCAATTTTATGGAATAAATTCATAAAAACTGAATAGAACCATAGACCTATGGACCAGTGGTCTTATAAAAATTTGTATGTCTTATAAAGTTTTGAAGTATTGTTTAATTGGGCTGTGCCATCTCTTACCATGTATTGAAACTACCAGCGGGAGTTGCTAAGAGCAAATTTCTTTAATTTTCAACACCTATAGAATTCCATAGGGTTTCCTAATACCCTAACAAGATGTCGCTACTATGATAATTTCTACAAGGTTGGTAGAGCTGATGGATATTTGAATAAGAGGTTGCCAGGATGGCTCAGAAGACGCGGTGAGGTCACATATTAGAGGGGAAGTGATAATTCATTCCAACGAAAATATAAATTCGGTATACTTTATATAACGCTCTCGCACCAATTCAATCTTGATCTGAAACCATTACATGTACCTATTTCTATGAATCACTCAAGTTCCTCATGGAATTTTGTATAATGATTACGTCACAGATTAATTACTACTTCTCCTCAACGCTTTTTTTGATCAAGGCAAGGCAAGTTGGTAGAATGGCGATTGCACATTAAAAAAAAAACAATAATCCTTGAGACATCGCCATCTATCGCCCCAATTTCGGAATCGGAAACACGACCCTGAAGTATGAATATTCTTCCTGCCTGTCCTCATGTCCAGAGGTGGATCTACGTTTCTGATGGGGCCCAAAAAATATTTTTTTGCTCAGTAAACATTCTTACTTTGAACACGGTAGGACAAAGCATGGAAACAAAATTCTCATCTGATGTGAATGAATGGCTAATAGCGTGCAAAAGTTTTCTTGCATTTTGCTGTGGCATATAATATGTTGAAGAATTACAACAACATATGCGATATTTCAATAATTATTATTTTGTTGAGTTGCAGGAAATTGAATCAGAAATGTTCTATATTAACAATACTATGCAGTGAAGGGTTAATAAGTACACTTCTATAGGTATTTGATTTTAATTATTAATAATTTTGAAAATAAACGCGCTGTTCCGCAAGTGGTCACTGATGGTATGTTAAAAACAAGTTCAAAGCAGTATTTTTGCATTGGAAAACACTTCCATAAATAAATCAACTATAGCAGATTGAGCAACACTAACGAACATACCTAATCATTCCTCATTCATTCGAAAATATACACGCCGCCACTGAACCTTCAACCTTGATGAAGGGAAAAAATAAAAGAAGAAGACAGTGACAGGTGACAGTATACCTGTGCTGTGCATTAGACCACAAATCACAGGATTATTTTCAGTTTAGTTTCAAGGTCGTCGCGATCTGTCATCTGTTAAAAACCGGTCTTATTTCTTATTTCATTGACAGATGGTGACAGCATGGAGTCGTTAATCTATGGTGACAGGAAGAAGCAAACGTCATGAGTTTATCATCATTTTTTCTTCATTTTGTATCATTAATTCATATTCATGAAAAATCTGCCTTTTGATAGTTTTGAGGTAGACCTGTTGGCAACCTTGAGGTATATTCAAATTTACAATTCACAATCACTGATGTAACTTTGGGAGGGCTATTTCGATTATTGTTAGAAAAAGTCGTTACAGAGTTCTTGACTCACTATGTTTCGCGAGATTCACGAAGTGGGCGACATCTAGGTTACATAATACGAACTTCAAACTGGGGGAAAACAAACTGTTGTCTATGGATAAAGTGCATAGACTACATTGCATTCAGCTTGCTGTAGCTGTAGTCAAACTTGTCAATGACATGAAGTGTTGGCACTGTTGGTAGTGATGATGGTTGAGTTGGTTAATTTTTTCACATTATTACATTTTTATTAGTTAATTGAACAGTGAACGGGTGAAGAATTAGAGATTAAACAATTCAAACCAATTATGACGAGCCAAACAATTGAAATATAAAAGAACAGCTACAACATGTTTACAATACCCAGATTGTCCTGCTTTGCATGAAAAAATACAAATTCATTGTTCTACAGGAGTTCCTCTGGACCCCAACTTCAATTTCACTTCATGTGGGGAAGATTTCATCGCCGAAGTTTGTAGATAAAGTGCAAAAATGTGCATTTTGTTGAAGTCTTCTGCCTCACACAAAATCACATGATTAGCACGAAGAACATCTACAACAGGCATTATTAGCGTTTTCGATCGAATATTGACAATTAATGTCAAGAAATTTAAAAACATCACTCTTATTAGTACACAGTACACAAGCTAATGGCACTATAATGGGATTGAGTCAATTGAGTGAGGATTGAGTTTGTTTTCCCCCAGTTTTGACGTGGCTTTGACATGGAACGATGAAAACCAAGCGCCACCTGGTAACATTGATTCCCGCGAATACGGTGTTTCCGATGCGAGGATACACATAATGACCATAGATCTAATTACACAATTAGATCTATGTAATGACACAATAAACCTTCTGAGGAAAACATTTGATCTTTCAGCTGTTATTGAACGTCCTCACTCCGGCATCATTGCAAAAGTCATTTCCCAGTTAACACAAACATCCGTGGGATGTCACATTCATGTCTCGTTTGGTATAACAATGCGAATTACGAGAAAATATCATTGGTATTGCCAGAGGACTTTTTATTTTTCAAAACATTCGCAATATTGTTCATATATCCTGTATTTTGTGAGGCTCACTAACAACCAAGAGACTCACTGGAACCTCACATTCGTGTCTAATTACGTAACAAACCAAATCAATCAATCTTGAAGTTGAATGAGGAGTCGCTATTAATACGTTCTGATGCCAGTTTCATTTGGCATCATAATGTTAATCATAAAATTACCAAGAGGGTCCGGAATAGCAGTCATTGTAATTTCAGCGCGACTCTCAATTTGAGTCACGGATGGGATGTGTGGCATGAATGTGATGTCCTCTGATATCTCTGGGATGCATATGGATTATACTTCCGGTGCTTCTGACTTCTCCGGAAGCGTTCTGGTTTGGCTGTTTCAACCTTTGATCGATAATTTAGAATAATGAAAGTTCCAGCTAAACTTCAAAATTCAAACCTCCAAAATAACTGACATATAATATGGTATGGTATACCTTATCTGACCTGATTATAGTTTTGTTTTTTTCAATTCCGGAAATAGCAGAAAAACCCTGTAGATAAGTGATAAGTGATAAGTATAGATACGTATTACGTCTGGAAGTCTCAAGAAGTATTTTCCTGTAGTAGGCAAAGGAAATCTGCCATGTTTGCAAAATTACCTACCGCAATGCGAACGCGTAAGAATTTCCTTTTTTTGGATTCAGCAGATTTCATTCATTCATGATCGAATCAAGGATCATATTATTGATCTGTTCTTATCATTTATTCGGTTACATAACACATATATTGCTGCAGACAAAATTGTTACAATGTATTTAATCGACAAATTTGCGCGTGGCAGTAATCAAATTAATTTAAAGATATTACATATTACTTACATAAAAAATAAAACATCAGTGATTGAGTGTGGCTCTTATCCATTCATTATTGCAGTGACCTTTAATATATCCATAGACATAGACATGCATATAGATGTGATATATTGTTCACAGATACGCAAAATATGGAATAAGTCCTGAATAAGCCTCTTGAGAGTCTTGAGATTTTGAAGAACACGGTTGGCACTTTTTCGGGGAAAGGGATATATTATTATGTCTGAAAATATTGAAATTGAGCTAGTCGTTCTTGAAGTTGAGGTATCTTTTTTTTATTTTCTGGTTCCCACGAAAAGGGATATCCTGTAATGTTCAGAGAACATCGTGAGAACCAAGGGAAATAAGGTAGGAATTGGTGTTCTCCTTGAATTTCTGGAGGTTATATGCCTCGGGAAATACCTCCCTTGGCAATGTGTTCCAGAGCCTCGCTGTTCGTTGGAAAGAGATGTTCTGCAGGTCTCCAAAGTGACCACGAAAGGGTGCGAAGCCTCAGCCCGACGGGTTATTCTCACGGGGACCAATGGAGGAACAATTGTTGATATTATTTCAGGAGAGCATCGTCCATGGAAATATCTATAAAATAGAGCAAGATCGCCAAGTTTTCTACGGTGTTCCAGAGAAGTGAGTGAGTTTGCGAGCGAGGCATCACCCACGAGACGCATTTCCCCATTTTTGGACAGAATCCAACATTTTCAGGGCATGTTCGGGTGCTGTACTCCAAATATGGGAACAGTATTCCAGGACAGGTCGGATCTGTGCCTTATGGATCATAAGCAGCTGACTGGAAGTAAAATAGCTCCTGGCCTGAAAGAGAAAACCAAGTTTTTGGGATGCACTTTTAGCAATTGATCTCACGTGATTTATCCAAAGAAGGTTATTGCTGATAGTAATACAATACCAAGCATCGAAATGGATGTCTTCAAAGGTATATGGTTACTTCAGATGGTACGCCATTGGCTCCAAAATGTATTGTATAGTCTCCATCCTGTCTCGAAGAGCAACAAATTATACGAAATTCGATAACAGTGAAACAGTCTAGTGTTTGTACATTCAATCACTGACCCCGAATAGAAAAAATTGACATTATGTATTATATCTTTCATATTTTTATCCGGAAATAAAGTTATCGATTTATTGCGAATATTTACACGTGTATGACTTTCAAAAATACAAGAGCAGAGTGAAAGTACATTTTTGTAATTTTTTTTCAGTGTCTGCCCCTGCTCTAGATAAGTTTGATCAATACCAGGGAATTTATCTGAATCATCATCCCGTTTTCATCTGATCAAATTTCATTCGAATTGAGTTTTATTCAACATTTCATGGGTTCTGTGATTAGAAACAATTCACAAAAATCTGGAAACTGACTGCATAATATTCTGTTTGTTCATACCATATATACAGGGTGTCCGGAAATTATGCGCAAAAAATCGAGGGATTTATTCTGCATGAGAAAACATGAAATTTATTTCATATATTCGTGGGTCTGGATATGCATAGTTTTCAAGATACAGTGTGTTAAACTTTATAAAAAAAATCGGTTTTTT